TTTGGCGGGACCCCACCGGTACGGTTCTCTCTGTCCCGCCCTGACACCATGTGATTTACGGCGAGATGTCGATATCCTGCAGGCAAACTAGACAGCTGCAAATATGCTTTCCACGAATCGGGCATTATTGTTGTTCCTGGTCGGATAAATTTGAGAATAATGTGTTCGTCAGGGTAGCAACATCCCGGCGCCCACCAAAACAGTAAACGCCCTGCCACAACCTCTCATCGATACCTCCGTACAACCACTGCTTACTCCGCACAGTTCTACCACGTTGTACTCCCTTGACGTTCGTTTCGTCAACTTCTACAATTGCTGCTGGTCCGCCAATGATGGGAGGATGCCTTCTACAGAACCGAGAGCAGATGCTCCTCAAACGACGCTCCCATTAGGTTGGCATCTTCGCAGTCACGCCAAGCTAGAATGACTTTTTCGGAAGGATCCAATTTCAGCCAAACGTAGGCAGTTGCAAAGATGGTAGACTCCGGAAGTTTGGAGTTTGCAAAAGAGCCTCCTTGTCGAACAGACAAGTATGGCTTCGTTTCTTCATTCTTCCTACAAGCGCGTTTATGGCAGATCCATACATCGTCTTGAGGTAAAATGTTCATGGATCCAGAGCATATCGAGCACCCTGGAACTGCTTGTAGTCCTTGGCTCCGTAACCATGCTCGAAAGTCGTCCGCGTTCAGTTTCAGCTTTTCAAACAAGTCCAACCACTTGAAATCCATCAACTCCACATGCGATTATGGCGATGCAGAGCGTTGAGATCCATGTTTAATGCAAATGAGAAATACATGAGTCTGGCAACACATCATTTGATTTTCGCGCCAAAATGCGCCATCGGTTTTGGCGCGCACTGTATCGACGTCCCATGAAAATATCGCGCAGAAAAAGTAGTAGTGGGGCGCCAGGCATTTTCGTGACGAATGGGTGCGATATTCGTGTTCTACGGGTCAAATTACCCTCTAAGCAAGCTTCTAGTCGGATTCATCTTCCTCAAAAAAATTCGTTGGAAACCCAGCCTATCCTCGACAAAGTGGGACAGTTAAGGATAAATAGTCCCCGATGGCGATATCTTCGTTATAGATCTACTTTCGAGCCC